TTATCTGGGTTGTCTTCAATCTTTGAGCGTATTGTTTCTGGTAAACCATTCAAAATAGCTGTTCTAAACGGCATGACTTCACTGACCTTGTGAGGGTGTCTTCCTACAGTGTCCATCCACTTGGTCACACTCCTGTCATAAAATACAATTGGGTCCTCAGACTCCAGCCAAGTTAACTCACGAGGGGCAGAAGACAGCGGAGTTGGAAAGTTTTCCCTCAGTGCTTCATACCAGGCATTTGCATACTGGCCAAATCTGGAAGAATCACAAACATCAGCAGTACCAGCTTGTCTTTCAATAGCATCTCTCTCCCATGGTTTACTGCATGCTGCCATCACTGCCCGGACGTCACCCATCGCCACATCATGACCTGTAAACCATGTGTTGAGACTGGAAATCCAGTTTCCAGCTCCCTGACACAATGGAGGCATTTTGTCTTTTATAGTCTGCATGTCACTTACAGAAAAAGGATGGTACTCCCCAGCTGCGCCTCGTCCTGGTCTCAGAGGGAACATGGATTTTGTCTGAGACCTGGTTCTGCTTGCCACCGGTCTAGTTTCTCCAGGCTCCTGGTCTCCGTCATCACTACTATCGTCAGAAGAGAATTTAGCTCCTTTTTTAGCCTGTTTAGCTTTACCGTCTCCCTTGTCACTCTCACTGTCCGTCCTAGTCATGGCTCTGCGTGCGGCTTTATTAATTAATTTTGCATTCTCCTGTCTAGCGGTCTCGTAATCATGGGTCCTACTTGGGGTTTCTTCTCCCTCAACTCTGTCTGCGGTGCATTCAGAGGTCGGTTTCCTAGCTCTAATATTTCTGAGAGAGTGCAGGAGAAGCTCCTGCACCTCTTGAATGGGTGGGGGTTGGTGAGGGGTGTGTGGGAGCTGTGGCGGGAGGCTGACAGCTGGATTTTGACTCGGATCTCCACTGTCCCCCACAGACCCCTCCTCTGTCCCTTCGCCAAATTCACTGTCTACAAAGTCATTGTCCCCTCTCTTTCCTACCGCCACTTCTCCTGAAAATGTATATTGTGGCAATATTAGATTTGGCTTACCTGGTTCTAAACCTAGAGAATATTTTGGTGGAGCCGTGGGTAGGGATGGGTATATATTACTCACCGGCATTGCTCCGTTTTCTGTTTCCTTGTCTTTACTTACCATTGGTAACTTTGCCAACGCCGTGGCAGCCAAAGCAAAGTTATGTACCTTGGTCCTCAGTTTCTCAGCCTTTTTTAGTTTCTTTTTAATTTGCCTACACTCATTCCAACTCTTTCCCTGCTTTCCCTCAAGCTCTTTTAAATCCTGTTTTAGATTATTTTCCTCTTCCCGCAATATCCTAGCTAATGCGGACGCTGTCATATACTCAGGTATGACCCTTTTGTTCTGTATTTTTTGCCATGTTTTCACAGCCTTTCGTTTTGCCTTGTTCCTATATTTTTTATCCAGACCACTCAGAATCTGAGCCTCTATTTCTCTATATAGCTGCTCGATTGGAATGCCTGTCTCCATTTTTCGGGGGGGCCCAAAATTCCCCCAGGTTCCAATGGTGTAAACCTAACTTGTGTGTTGACGCGTCCGTCAACCACGCTAGTCACAGCGGGCTTTCCTGTTTCTGGCAAGGCTTCTCAAAAAATCTTTACTTTTAATGTATTCTCGCAGGGTTCTAGCTACTTAGACTCCTATTTTATTTAATTTTAACGTATTTTCGCAAGGCTCTCACTACTTTTTAGGCTTTTACTATTTTTACTTTTTGAATTAGCTCCTCCGTGGACAAAACTCCTCTCCCCTTAATTTGTGTAGTCCAATATGCAGATTTTTAATTAGTCAAAAGGTATCTGCTTACCTTCAAATCAGCGGCCGCTTTGAGGAGAGATGTAGAGTCCAGGGATAGGTTGAAAGTCATCAAAAGGGATCACGTCGAGGGTCACCAATTATTATATTAAAAAATGACGTGTTCAAAATCCCTTATAAAGATGACCATGATTCAGAAAGTTAAATTCAAAAAGGTTTATTTCCCTAATACAAAAAGAATCTAACACAACGACCTGGACCAACTTTAACTATCCCTTATTCCCTATATAAAGTATAAAGTATGATTTTGGTGGGCGCTCCACGCAAACTCACACTGCTGTCCCTGATCCAGTCTAAAGAAACTCTAACTCACACATTCAAGCTATTTCCTTAAGTAAAATGTGCAGGAAGAAGGGGCGTGGTATCAGCCAGCTTCCGGGGTCCCGTGGTCCGCCTCCCTCCATCTGTCTTCTCCCGTCTGCATCTGAAAAAGAATCCCTGCCTCTCTAGCCTAACGTCTCTGGTCCAGCTGTCTCTTAGTCTGAGATCCATCTCTGTGGTCTAAACAAGTGGTAGACTAGCAGGCTCCAGTGTCAACCCACTCCTGATGGAGTGGGTTTAATAATGCAACAGTCAGCCAAAATCCAAACAGAAGAACCCATCTGTCATTTAGCAGGTCCCCCAGAAGACCCCTAAAATTAACTTAAAAGGACTGGCCTGCCACTCAGAGGTCGATAGATCATAAGACACATGGTTTTAGAATGTCACTTATTTATAAATACAACACCTCCTCGGTGCAAGAACCTGGGAGTGGATGAGATCCATCCTGAATGTCTTCAGTCTCTAGAGCAGAGATGTCAAAGCAGTCGTCAAAAGGCCTGTTTGGCTGAAGGATTTAATTCCAACCGAGCAGGAGTTAAGACTGAACTTTTGAATGGAGTCTGGTGTTTCTTGCTTGACTGAAATGAAATACTTTATCCACACTGGTCGTTTGAGAACAGGTTTGACAGCCCTGCTCTGGATGGTGTGGAACTGTCTTGGCTGACACGTCTCTGCAACGATCAGGGCCAGTGCCTTTGGAGCAAATCATGGGGTGGTGTCTTTGAGAAGGAGACCGGAGCGTGTATTCCAACTACTGTAGGACCACTGCTCAGTCTGTTCCATGATCCTGAAGATGGCCAACGCACAATCTGATTCCACAATGTCACTCACTATTACACCAGGACTTTAGTGCAGGAGTTCCAGTCTCAGGTCTTGTTCTCAGTGGGAGAAGGATGGAGCCTGAGATTGAGACGGTTTGCAGAGCGTCTGCAGGGATGCAGTCGCTCTAATGGATCATGCTTAATATTTTAGCTTTTAAACCGCTCTTTATAGGAAATGGGACTATATATAATTTACATGACTGATGTTCTGTTTTAAATATACCCTTTATTATGCTGTGTAGATTTCCTTTATGCTTGTGAGTGTGTGATGTTATGTTTGTAGCATCAATAAAAACTAAACTGATCACAGCAGTTGTTTTCATTTTCTTACAAAGATTCAGGTGTGATCTGAAACCTGTTCAGGAGCTCACGATACTGTCTGGGACTATATGAGATCAGAGCTGAGCGTGACCCAGTTCATGTGGTTAACCAAGGTCTGGAACTTGGCAATACATAAATGTATGTCTTTTATTTAGTTTTTGTTAAATATAAAAAATAAACATTCTTAAATATTCATTTACATGAGTAGAGTTGTCTGTTGTCATCATCCTAATGCTTTTGAGCAGTGAAGGAAAGAGTTTGTCAAAGATGGAACAAAGACAGTAGTTTGAACATTATTTCTTGTTGTTTTAGAGATAGTGTAATAAAATGGGCCATCTTAAAAGAATAAAGGAGGATTTTCCCAAATTTGAGGAAAGAACCGCCCTCTCCACTTTTTGAACAAAACTCTTTGACCTTATTTGACGAGCACCATAATGATTGACAGTTGTGAGGACCAATAGTCTTGATGATCCACCTGGAAGTAGAAAATCCTCCTCTACCTTTGACATAATGCTGTTTATTTTTCCACTTTGCAACACACAAATACCTCGCTTTTCTTAAGATCAAACAAAAGTGAGTTTCTAAAGATATGTCACTTTTAGATGATTTGATTTCTTTCTTAAATGAAGTCCTTGAAGCTGGAATAAATGGAACTTATTATAACATGTTTTTCTACGTTTGTAAAGTGACCTCTTCTGTGACGGCTGTAATCTGTGAACATTAAGAATCTGTGTCTTTGCAGCAAAGTGGTTTGACTCAGGAAGTCATACAGCTTCAGAAATAGACAAAGCACAGTCTGAACACCACAGACTGGTCTCACAGAATGTATGACTGTAATTCATTATCAAACTGAGCCTGTGTGTGGACACCAATGTCTGGAGGAAAATGAGGAGAAATAAAGCTTTATATATATTTGGGGTTGACATCTAAAGGATCCATGTGTGGAAAGATAACTCCTCTTTCACGGCACTAAAGAATCTCTTCCAACAATTCCAAAACTTTTCATCATTTGGTTTGGATTATGTTTGATTTAAAGGGACAGTATGTGACTTTAAATACATCTACATCTTGTGTCACCAGAAAACAGCTCAACTCATCACAAATGACACTTTCTGAACAACAGTTTAAAGTGGAGATGAGGTTCAGATTGGAAACTGTGCTGCATCAGCAGAGACACTCAGCAGTGGCTTCCTGCTTCTAATATCTCACCTGGAAGTGTCCCTTGGGTCAAAATGACCCGCTACAGACAATTAAAAGTATAAGAAGAATACCCTAAATATTGGTTAAAAAGACAAAAAAAAAAAATCTGAAAAAATAAAGAATTATCCTTGTGACGGGTAAATTTTATCCGAGGATAGCACGAGGGTTAAGAATTGGATTAGGTTTAGGGTTGTGCAGTAACCCTCCTCCTCCCCATCACCACCAGCCAGAACAGAGAATCCTCAGGAGAACCTCAGTAAAGGAGAGATCTACTCAAGTCCAGAGGGAGAGTCAATTTCTCTCTCTGGACTTGAGCAGCACAACAATGTGAGCTGCCTGTGATGGTATTAATACAACAACGTGAGATTGTGCTGTAGACTGAAATGCAGCAAATCAAATCCTTTCATCTTGTCGGCCAATCAGATGCGAGCTTGGCTGTAAAGAGCAAGAGGCGGGATCAACCATTTCCAGTCTACACCTGCATCTCAACATGGGACGACCGTTCAGAGTTCTGCTGGTCTTCAGTCTCGTGTTGGTCTTCAGTCTAGTGTTGGCCACTAACAGTGAGTTTCTTTAGAATTATGAACATCATCATCTGTTGAAATGAGTTAAAATTAGACTTTGTTGTGGTCTTTTAATTTCAGATCAAGTGACTCTTCAAGAAACAAACCATTTCCTCTTCGCTGCTCCTGGAGACAACATCACTCTGCCCTGTTTCAACAAAGATGACAAAGAGTTTGAATCAACGTATTATTGGTACAAGCAAAGTTTAGGCAAAAAGACAGATTGTCTTATGTCTTTGACTAAATATCAGCGCACTCCAACTTTGTGTGGAGAATTCAACAGCAGCGGACGATTCTCACTGAGAACTCAACACGGGAATAAGGACCTCCATATTACACATGTCCAAACATCTGATTCAGGGATTTACCTTTGCATACGGTATTATCTTTACAATCTGAACATCACTGAAAACTTTAATGTTGTTGTGATGAGAGAAAACCTGACTTTTAAGATCCAGCAGTCAGAAAATGAGGACATAGATCGAGGAGAATCTGTGAGTTTAAACTGTAGCGTCCAGACTGGGAGCTGTAATGGAGCACACAGCGTTCACTGGTTCAAGAAGTCTGAAGAATCCACAGTAGGAGTTCTCTACAGTCGTGGGAATAGTATTGATCAGTGTGAGAAAAGCACGGACAGTCCAACAAACTCCTGCTTCTACAACCTCCACATTCATAACGTGAGCTCAGATCAAACTGGGACGTACTACTGCGCAGTGGCCGCCTGTGGACAAGTCCTGTTCGGGAACGGGACCGAGGTCAGGGTCAGAGGTGAGTTATTTTGTTTCATTTTGCTTGATTTCAACAGTTACATGGTTGACTGGAAAAGCACTCGTAGAGCACAGAGTTTCGCCAAGAGTTAATTTCAATAATTGTGCTATTTGTTCCCATAACTAGGAATGTGCTAAACTAAAAGTGAGGCCAAAATTTTCCTTTCTGAAGCAGTTTGAATATTCTTTGATCTCTAACCTCATCAGAGCAGGTAGAGTAGTGAAGCAAAAGACACATATGATCTTTTTCAAGATGAGGTCTGTAAGATTCACCAACAGTTTTTGAGCTTCTGCCAGAAGGACACTCAGTAGAACCTTGGACTAATTGCACAACACACTTGAAGGCCCTTTTGTTGTTGTACAGATGGACACAGTATGGATGTGAGAAAAACCGTACCTTATGCAAATTTCACCAATTCTTTGTATGGCCTTTCGTAAAGAGACTAAAGAGGCTGTAAAATACTCTAAAACTCTAAAACACTGCCTCCTCTGCAGTTTGGGAATACACTTTTTAATAGTTCTTGACAATGACGCAAACTGTGCTCCAACTCCAAAAGAATCTATTACTGATTCTGTGATCACATTTGTGGCAGTATTTCAGCTTCTGTTTGTGCTCCTTGATAACAATCATTCCAATCACATCTTCCTTTTTGTTTAAAGATGGTGTTTCAGATGGATTTATTGTGAAGGTGTTGAGTGGAGCCTTGGCGTTGGCCTCAGTCCTGGTGATGCTCCTGGCTTTCTTACTGATCAGAGCCATGAGGAAAAACATGAAGGTTTCCACAGGTAACAGTTCTTTCCCCAATCCTTTTCACTGCTCGTATCATAGCTGAGGTGTGTGGCCAACTTTGAACTTATGCTGTGGAGTCTCACTTTCATCTGCTAGGTTTACAAATTATCTCCAGAACGTGTTTTACAAGATAAAACTCGCCGACTTCCCAAAGCAACATTTTTGGACCAAATCTGTTTTGTCAAGCTTTAACAGAATATGAACTTGATGTGAATTTTCTGTTTGTACTCATACTTTATGAATGAGACATGTGAGTGAGTGTTGGTGGTGGTCCGTTGGTGCAGACTGGCAGCCATAGTTTTGTCAGTCTGCCCCTGGACAGCTGTTGCTGCACTCACACCAAAGTGTAATTCATTATGATTAGTATTGTCAGTTTTCAGTAGAGAAAAGCCAAAAGCCGAATTTCATGTTTCATTACAGAACTCAAATCCAGAATGCTGTTGATGACAAACAGAGAGGTGAGTAAATTATGTTAAAATCTGATTTTGTATTCCTGTATTTAAGGCCGAAAAAGTCTTTTTAATAAGTGTATAGAAGCTAGTCCTGCTTAATCACCACATGTTTGGGCAGTAAACTTCCAGCTTCATCAGAGGAGACACGTGATGGAACAACATGTCTCTGATCATTGAAATAAAGAAGCGAGCTCTCAGACCAACAGAGACGAGGGGGCCTTCACCTTGACTCACACATGGGACTCACTTCTCCAGAGACGCATCAGTAACAGCAGCAGATCAGAGACTCGTCACAGTCACATGTCTCCTCAAACCTGGGTTTAAGCAGAACTAGCTTCTTTTCACTCTTTGTCTCATTAAAACTAGAGTGTATTATTGAGATGAATTACATTGTGAAGAGACGTGTGTCTGTGTTTGTTATTGTCAGGAGCAGGACGAAGACTCTCTTCACTACGCTGCTCTGAACGTTCAGTCTTCCTCCAGACGACAGAGAGTCACGGCTCAGACAGACTGTGTTTACTCCGGTGTTCACCTGTAGCTTCACTGCCTCCACCACCGCATCTATACAATACTTACTACATACAGTATATCTCTCACATAGACATCAGCATTTCAATGAACTTATATCAATGGCCACAACTAATGACTCCCATAATAAGACTTCCATGGATTCAGCTAGTTTATTAATACTATCTATTCTTCAGTGAGGTCCCGGCCAGAACTGTTTGGGGACCAGTGACCTATAGAATTTGAAAAACCAGTGGTGTGGTGACCAGTGTTTTCCAATATTTGTTATGTCTTCATTAAGATAGAGATAAAGAATTTAATTGTGCTGGACTTAAAGGTATCAAGGAGGATGTTGCCAAATTTTAGGAAAGAACTGCCTCTCCATGTTTTTAACTAAACTTTCTGGTCTTATTTTACGAGCACGTATCACGAGAATGATTGACAAATAGGAGGACCAATAGTCTTGATGATCCACCTGAAATAGAAAATCCTCTTATATGCTTTTTACATTCACTCGTGTTGTGTGTTCCTCATTTCTACTGTTCTTTCACTTGTGATACAACTCGGACTGCTGGACAAATACAGGATCTCTGCATCTTATATGTTTAATGATCTGCAATGTCCTAAATAAACATTTACTTTTACATAGTATCTTTCTTGTTTGCGGAGTGTTGGACATTTTAAACATACGTTATTTTGTATATATTACAGTAATTTTCTTCTTTTCTTAAGCACTTTGATCTGAATGAACAGGGAAGCATAAACCTTACCAAGTGAGTGACCTACCATCTCTCAAAAACTACACCTCTCAAACCAATGAGGATGTTGTAGGTGTGTCTGTGTCTGTGGGTATATGTGGAGGAAAAACACCAATCTCCCCGATCTTTAAGTGTTCCTGTCACTGTGTGGTGCGACTTCAGCTCGGCCAATCAGAGTCGAGCTTGTTTCTTTACAAAGTCAGGACGCAGTTCAGTGAAGAGAAGAGTTTGAAGAGAATGGCTCCTGTGCAGATGGTCTGTTGCCTCCTTCTCGTACATCTGGTCACGGGTGAGTTTCTGTCGTTGCGTCTCAGTCTTATCTCCACCCTGCTCTAACTTCTACCTTTTCTTTCGTTCAGTGAAGAGCAAAGATTCTCAGCCGTCGACAGATGGAGGTGCAGCAGTAAAGACGACGCTCTTACCAGTGGTACTTGGAGAGAATGTGACTTTGCCGTGTTTCTGTAAAAACGATCTTCGAGGGAGACTTTACTGGACTTTATAAACAACGATCGCTTCAAACTGGAAAAAGAAGACAATAAAAACAATCTTGAACTATCACAGGTCAGAATTTCTGATTCAGCTGTTTATCATTGCCTCAGTGCAGTGGCTCATCACATCCAGTTCTTAGCGTCTGTTCACGTCTTTGTAAAGACTTTGAACCCTGGACTCGGCATCCATCAAACAGCGTCAGAACCAGTGGAAGCAGGACGCGCTCTGGTCCTTCGCTGTGAGGTAGATTCTGGAACGTGTCTGGGGCCACAGAGGGTCCATTGGTTCAGACAGTCTGAAAAGTCTGCAGCAGTGCTCTACAGCGAGGATCAGTGCAAGAGCAATGAAACAAACCCGACAAATTCCTGCTTCTACAACCTCCACATTCATAAAATGAGCTCAGAGCAAACTGGGACGTACTACTGCGCTGTGGACCTCTGTGGACAAGTCCTGTTTGGAAACGGGACCGAGGTCAGGGTCAGAGGTGAGTTTTATTCCAATCACCACAGAAGCTAAGGGCTGTATTCTTAAAGATTCTTAGTGCTAAGAGTTGCTCCTAGGGGCCAAATTCTAAGAATATACTTAGAATCTTGACTAAAAGTGAAGAGTCGATCCTAGTTAAGAAAAAAGATACTCCTAAAGAATCCTAGCTCTTAAGAGAGCTCCTAAGTTGAGATCTCTAAATAGTAGAGAGGAGGACTTTAAGCAACTTAAGAGTTCCCTAAGAGCACAATATAGAGGATGGAAGAGGCAACCCTCGTTACACAAAAGTTAGAAGAAATGGTAAAAGTTGAAAGAGATAAAATGACCAGCCTGGCAATTAATATAAGAAAATACATTTTACTTTATGTGTGTTAATACTGTTCCGGGCCTAAGTTTTCACAATTTCTGTTTGACAGTTTAAAAGTAGGGCTGTCAAACGATTAATTTTTTTAATCGAGTTAATTACAGCTTAAAAATTAATTAATTGTAATTAATCACATTTCAAACTATTGGCAAAATTATGCCATATTATTCTGTAAATGGTTGTTTGAATGGAAAGATAAATGACAGCTTAGTGAACATATGTACTGTGTTTGTTTGTTATAACAATAAATCTATATAAAATGGAATCAACATTATTAACATTCTGTCTTTCTGTTTAGACTCAGACCAAAACCATTGTTTGTTACAGATGAGGGACATTTCAAAATAGTCTGAAGCAGAATGTCATTAAATCTGTTTGATTTGCTCACACCATTACTTTTTTGGCACAACTAACATGAACTGGTAGTCGAAAGGAAAATTAGGTACCTCAGCTTTAATTTAGCGAGTGCGCTTTGGGAGAAGACACGGAGGAGACTGAAGGGCTCGACACACAGGAGGCGACAAATGAGAGCGATCAGCGAAACTCAACGCTGTCGCTCAGATAACATGACAGACGGGGCGCGATGCGGCTTGACGACAGCGTCGAAAAGTTGAGCCTATTTCAACTTTCTGGGATCGCGTCGCTGACCTGCGCGTGCACGATACATGCACGAGCGGGAGGATTTCACACGCACGTTTTTCGGCCGTCGCTGAGCAGGAGGCTCGCTAGCGATTGACGCTATGTCGCGCACGTCCCATTGAAAATGAATGGAGGCGATGCGATGTCGCCTCTCGTGTGTCGAGCCCTTGAGGCTCCGCAGTCCAGCTTCAGCGCTGTACATATTGTGTGCATCGGTTACGCAAAGACACGTACGCACACTAGAGAACAGTTCTGTAATAGTTCTGTGCGTGGTCTTGGATATGATCCCGTTACGCAGCGCCGTTCGCCGTGATCACAGCCGCTGGAAGTGGTGCTGCTGTCCAGAGCGCTGTCGCGCCCGCAGCTCATCATGCAGAGTCCATAAAGGAAACAACAAGTGCCCCGCGGTCACGCGTGTATTCTTTCAAAACTTGAATTCCCAGAGGGCCTACCTGCTCTGTCCCCATCTTACACACACATGTGTCCGCGGCATTCTGAGTGTTATTATGGGACGCATGGGCATATGTCAAATGCGTTAATTTTTTTAGCGCGATTAATGAAATTTTTTTATTAACGTGCGTTAACGCGATAATTTTGACAGCCCTATTTAAAAGTAAAACTTACTACTCACAATATTCATTTTACATCGACATATCTATTTATCAATTATTATTTACAATGACACAGTCTAAGACTAGATTCCATGATTAAGTTTATCCATTTGAGGCTCCTTATTTTGCCCATCATCACAAAAAGTATGTTTTCTTGGGCCCAGAACTATAGAGGGAAGAATACAGTAGATGCGTGCTTCGGAATCCAGGCCTGTACCAAAAGTGACGCAGGTTCACCGGCCACAGCGGCCTGAGGATGTGGCAAAGACTCAACCGTGTCAGCTGCATTTCCTTCACAAGGTTTTCTTCAGAGCTGAGACAAACCTCCCAACGATGCTTCTCTTACAGACGCTGTTTATTGCGGGTAAGATTTTACCACAACTTTTTTAAAACAGCTTAGTTTCAACTACAACTCTTGTCTTTCTTTCAGGTCTTGTCTTGAAAGATTCTTGCTTCCATGTGAGTGGAAGTGACGTGAGTCTGAATGTTGGCGAGCATATAACCCTGGCTTGCTCGCCAAGTGAAAAACCTGACTTGTTGTTTTGGTTTCGGCAAAATCTCGGACAGAAACCCACTCTCGTGTCCTCGCTGTACACCTTCGACCAGAGGGGAATCTTCTACAGCACGTTCAAGGACAACCCACGCTTCAGTCTGACTCCTGACTTCCACTTAATCATTTCAGATTTGCGAGTTTCTGACACAGCGACGTACTATTGTGCTTCGAGCCAACACTACGAGCTGAAATTTGCCAATGGGACGAACGTGATTGTCAAAGGAACTGGTCTTAAACACAGGAGGAAGCAACGATGTAGAAGCCGCTGGACTGTCCCAGGTTCTCAACTGCAGCGTCAGGACGGAGAGCTGTGTCGGGTCGCGAGGGGTTCACTGGTTTAAACAGTTTGAAGAATCGATGATGGGCGTCGTCTACGGTGTGTGTGGGAGCGACATGGAGAATTCCAACACCTGTTTGTACGAGCTCCCAGTGTGAGCTCATATGTGAGCTCAGAGCAGACTGGGGCGGCCTACTGCGCTGCTGTCACCTGCGGACACCAGCTCCTTGGGAATCGAACCAAAGTGAAGGGTGAGTTAATATGCAAGTGCTCATTTTGTATTTTAAAACGTATGTATTTCGGATGCAAAAACAGCAAAACGATTTGAAATTGGGTTGGATGTAGCCGGGTCTTAGCCATCGGTAAACGCCAGTCAAGTATTATTTCCCTACATGTACGTTTTGGTCTGGTCCCAGCTCCTAAACTTATAAAAAAAGGAATGAAAAACTCATTTAAAAGTATATTTAAATAAAAACGGGTCCCAGAGTTTGATTGACACCTTTGCGTTCTAGAATTTGAAATCTATTCTGATGCATCCCGATTCCACGTGGCTCTCGGACCTTTTCAAATCTATGTCTGTCCACCACACCGAGAGTCTATTTTGAGTCTATTTTTTTTAATTTAGAGTTATAGAATGAAAGCTATTCTCATGTCAACAATGAAACCAGACGGTAATAACTTTTTTTATACAATTGTGAAATAAACCTTTTGATTGATCTAAATTAAGCTGAAATCCACACTTTATGAGATATTTCCATGTTTTCCAGTTTTCCCCAGACCCCCCCAGATGGCCTCCCTGTGGGGGGCTGTGGCCTTCACCTACGCTCTGCTGTTTGCTCTGACTCTGCTCCTGTGCTGTTTAAACCAGAGGAATAAAACTGGTGAGTTATCAGTGAGTTTTTAGCCATAAAACTTTACGGTTCTAAGCATCTACTTTTCTTACAGAGACGTGCAGTGGATAAACTCCATACAAGACCAGAACCAAGGTGAGTTTGATGTCCTCACATGGTCCTTACAAGGTCCTCACATGGTCCACTCATGGTCCGTACATGGTCCACACATGATCCTCTCATGGTCCTCACATGGTCTACTCATGGTCCTCACATGGTCCGTACATGGTCCTCACATGGTCCTCAAATGGTCCTGACATAGTCCTGACATGGTCCTCATATGGTCCTTAAATGTCCCACACATGGTCCTTACATGGTCCTCGCATTGTCCACTCATGGTCCTTACATGTTCCTTACATGGTCCTCACATGGTCCTCAAATGGTCCTGACATAGTCCTGACATGGTCCTCATATGGTCCTTAAATGTCCCACACATGGTCCTTACATGGTCCTCGCATTGTCCACTCATGGTCCTTACATGTTCCTTACATGGTCCTCACATGTTCCTTACATGGTCCTTACATGGTCCTCACATGGTCCACTCATGGGCCTTACATGGTCCTCACATGGTCCTGACATGTCCTCACTTGTTCCTCACATGGTCCACTCATGAAAAATAAGGTAGCATCTTTTTCACGAGGTTGTAATGACACAGTTCTTTCGCCATACCAGAATTTCACTGCTGGTTTGGGTCTTGGCTCAGCGTTGTGTGTTGGTTCTATTCCATGTGAGAAGCACTAAACTAAACAACATTCTCTCTTATTCCCTCAGACTTTCCACAGAGATGTGCTTCTCTACGTGGCCACCAGGGGGACGGAGAGTGGCGCCTCCAGGAGACAAAAGGACAACACCTGGAGCGAGTGTGTCTACTTCAGCGTCCAATAAGAAGACAGAACGGGTCCATGTTAACAACAGTTGTGTTTACCTTAAAGCTGCATTATCTGACTTTATTTTTGTATTCATTACACAAATTCAATCAATATCCATGCAGTGCATTGGGATATACGTCCTTTTGAAGAAAAAGTAGCACAGATTTGTGCTGGCGTGTCATTTTATTTTAGATCGAGTTTTTGTGAAACAAGGAAGAGAATGTGTTTTGGGTCCAGATTGTGACCAATCACAGCCAAAATAAATGTACTGAGATTTTTTATGAGTGTAATGCCTTAAAGTTGGTCCTAAATGATGGAATGAGCTGCTCCTTTGTGTTAGTCCGATTCACTTCCTGTTTTTAAGTCTCGTTCTTATTGGCTTTTAAGTGATATTGAATAGATTTTTTGCTGTAAATAGTGTGTGTTTTGCCACTGCTTTATATTTTCCAATTGTATATTTTTGTTTGTCTTTTTATGTACTGCACTTAACCTTGTTGTTTTTTATTAGTGCTTTATAAATAAACTGGACTGGATTGTATGATTTGTATTTGTTTATTTGGATGGCACAGTGTGTATTTATGAACAGTTAATGAATATTGCCTTTGGTATGATGTGGGCTATACAAATAAACCTGCCTTGCCTTTCCTATCAAGTAGTTTCCATCCCTACATTTTTTAATCATATTTTGTATTGTGTACAAGTCATGGCCTCTCACCAAAGTACATCTGAGACACATTAGAGCCATATGAACAAACTCGGATTCTGAGGAGCACAGGGACTGGACTCCAGAGTCAGATTTCAGATTTATGCTGCTAGAATCTGAAACTGTCTTCCTAAAGATGTGAGACAGGCTTCTTCTCTGACAATGTTCACATCCGGGATGAAAACAGTTCAATCTGGAAAGACTCAACAAAGATGGCATTAGAATGTTTGTTGTCAGATGCATGAATAAACACCGGCAGACTTAGATTGAGACTATTATATTTATTGATAAGGAGATCAGGAGGAGGTGGGTTGCTGCTCAAGCTCAGTGCAGGAGTGTAGAGGGAAGGAGTCAGTGGCAGCATGGCATCTCTTTGGTCTGCCAGTCTGAATTTGCGCATAAGCTTAATTTCTGTTTCGCTGCAAAAACTTTACTAATTGTATGCGCTGTGATTGTTAATGATTTGATTTGAAACAAATGAATCATAATTCATAAATAGAACATTGTGGTGGTAAACAGAGCTTGCTACCTTCACTTGAGGTAAAACTTTCCACCGGTGGAAAGTAAACACAGGAAGAGCGAGTGGCCCGAACCACCACCACCACCATAATGCATCACCGCTGTCATCGTTCCCATGGCGACTACACAAATAAAACCTGCCTAATGCACAATGCTGGGATGCTGTCGCCAGGTACACAGCAGCAGCAGACTCTTGCACATCCAGATAAGGCTGTATTTATGTGTGTTTAAAAGTCAAAGGTGCAGTTCTGTGAGAGGACAGTGGACAAGGCGGCTGTGGTTTCAAACAGGAAGCAAGACGAGGCATCGCTATCCGAGCTTTAGCGGCGTCTGTCGTGTAGAAATGTACGATGTGGTGTTTTTGTGGTCACCTACTCTGTGTTGTTTTCATTACCTCTGTGTGAAAGTGCTGCTGTCTTCTGCTGTACAGTTCTTCATGGACACATATGATGCCAAACTGTCTTGTTTCCTCATACAAAACAGTGCTTTTAAGCTCAATCCAAGCTGATATTTAGTTCTGGCTTCTTCTTCTCTCGCTGTGGGCAGACCTGGTTCTCTGTATGAACCAGGTCTGTCCAGACTAAGGCTAACGAGCCACATGCAGTTATTTTATAATTTTGTTAAGTCCTAGAGAGAACTTTTGTGATTAAAGGCAATACAAAATATATAGAATTGATTTGTCGGTGGCCCTTTGTCTTGCTGACCGGGGGCTTGCAAACAGTGGCTTGCTCACAGTACCTTACTGACTCACAGTAAGCAAAGAGATGTCTTCCAACTTCATATATTGCGCTAATGTATCTGTGGTTTAAAGTCAAGATTAGTACAAATAAAGAATACATTTGGCTTCATTCACACTGACCAAAAATATAAAGGTATTTGAAAACAATAAACATTTGACTTGTTATTATTTTACAAAGGACCATTTTTATGCTAATTAACATCGTCACAATATGTCAGAGTTGTTAAGAGGGGTGGATTATCTCATCAAAGGAGAAGTGCTCAACGGAAGCACTTTTGTGAAAAATATTTAAGAGAAATGATTCCAACAAGGCTCTGGTGTAAGAAGCATTACACCACACACAACAGGACAGGACACACACAAACCCACACAAATGCACAATCGCACAAACACGTACAAACGCACACACACGCACACACACACAAATACACGTAAAACACACCCATATATACAGTACAAACACATACACATGAATACACACACACACACACACATACACATAAACATACACAAGCACACAAGCACACATACACACAAAAACACAACCATACATACAGTACACACATATAAATACACACACACACATACAAACAAAAACACACCCATACAGTACATACAGTACACACACACACACACACACACACAAATGCACACATACATACACACACGTACAAACGCACACATACACGCAAAACACACACATACATACAGTACACACACATACACATACAGACACACACACATAAACACACACACACAAACACACACACACGCATAACCACACCCATACATACAGTACACAATGGTTTTTAATTGGTTTACCAGGACCACAAATCAGAGCGACTGTGGAGTCTCAACCACAGGTGCGCGTTCCTCTTCCATCTGCTGCTGACCTGCTCCTGTTTGCTTTGGGGAAATGCAACACAATTTGCTCAGAAAATTTCAATCACTTTTTTTGTATTTATTTTTTTACAAAACTTTGTCACACATTTTACCCACACTGTGAGTTTTTTAATTATTGTTATTATTATTATCAAGACCCACCACATTTCTGGTAGTAGACCCAAATTTGTGGGTTGCAACGACCTAGAAACCAAAGATCCAATCAGGAGAAGTGCTGAGATGTGTTTCGTTTTTAATTGAAATATTATAAATTAATTAAATTGGAAATAATAATAATGGTTAATATGAGGACCTTTTACAGGGTTGGTATTGACAAAAATATATACAGACTATTAAAATCATCTATACCTCTGTAAAAACACACAGAGATCACATATATAACACATTAACACAAACATTTAATTCAAAAGTAATCAAATAAATCATAAATGTATGTGAGTAACCTTCTAAAAACACCAATGTTATAGAGTCTAATGTATATCTTGAATGTGAAATGAGGACACAGAGTTAGGACCCACATCGTGAGCTGTGATTGGCTGGCCTGACTCTCTCTGTTCCTATAAGAACTCAATGATTTCAGCTTTGGTTCACTGACTACTGCCGCTCTCTGTGTAATACTGAGCCATGGCTTTTATCTGCCTCCTTCTCATCCTCTTGGGTAAGTAACCAACCATTTCTCATGCTATTTATCTCATGGAATCATATGATACCTTGATATTTCTCTCTTTAGGAGCCTTTTCAACCTGGTCCCATCCCACTCTGCTGCTTCACCAAGTTGGGGAGACTTCAGTGTTGCCGTGCAGCTGTCGAGACGGTGATTTTGCAGCGTGCTACTGGTACAAACAAGCTGTTGGGCTCAAACCAGTTAAAATTACTTATTATAAAATATATGAAAATATATCAGATATCCACCGTGAAGAACTCGGTGATGAACGTCAACGTTTTAGCCTTAATAACACAAACAAGGACAATAACTTGACGATTGCAGATTTGCAAGTTGCTGATGCGGCGCTGTACTTCTGCATCGGAGCCAATTTATACGACATGTGGTTTTTGAAGGAGATTACCTTGGATGTAACAGATGCCAGGATTGCAGACACACGTTTTGTTTTAGATTGGACGCCAGAGAATTCCGATGCCAAAACAAACTCTGAGAAACTGGATTGCAGCTTAAGTTATAGAAAAGGCGTGATTTTTTGGTTCAACCCCTTAAAGGAGCCGTCGAAGGGGGTTCTTTACAGACATGGAGGCAATAGGGATCAGTCTGAGGGCGAGATGGACACTTTTGGGAACTGTGTCTACAACCTGCCAGAACACGGCGATGATTCAAGCAACGATTGGAGAAAATGTGCCGTGGCCTCGTGCGGGAAACTTCTCTATGGGACAAATGATCAACCCGAAGGTAAGGAGGTACAGTTTAGTGGTTTTCATTGGTTTTGTTCCATTTGATTCAGTGACTGTTAAGTACGTACAGTGTGGTTAAGAACTGGTTTTGGATGAGGATATGGTTAACTCAGGGGTACTTCACTTTCAAACTAGAGGGTTAGGGTTAGGGAGGGTCTAAGGAAAGTGGTGACACCCGGAAACACTCCACTTTCAGAGACATTTATGGACATTGGTCTCTGCCCCTTATGGCTCTATGTGTTTTTATTGTATTTATTTTATTTTTCAGGGACATTATGCATCAATAAAAATTTTACAAAACATAAACATTCTGTACATTCAGCAGAATTAGTCATGAAGGCTATTTTTCATCTGCAGTCCCTGGACAGGCGTACATAGACTCCCTAAAGATAACACTGCATTTCATTTGTTTGAACTGTTTTCTGATCTGTATTATCGAATCGACGGTTTTGTAATGTCCTCTGTGAAAACTGCTGTTGTAATTTAGGGCAATACAAAAATAAATTAAATTGAATTAATTTTGTGGGTCTGTAACAGTAAAAAAGCCACATGCAGACAAGCCAAATCTTTAGGATCTGTATTATGTAACAATTCTGGTTGTTGAAGAAAGTTGAAGAAAGTTGAGTCGAGTTTATCTTTGCATTGTTCCACTCGGGTCGGGTTTGGGTCTAGGCGGAAAATGTGCACTCATGTGATTCTTGTCTCTTGTCTTTTAAAATGGCTGCACATAGGACTCTATCTGAAATGGCTGAGCACAAAGCTAAAAGCAAACTAATAATTTATCCCAGATTATTAAACCTAATACTTTAGAGTCAGAATCTTTCACTTGCACTTCGCATTGCCCCATTTCTGTGCCTGTTTCGTTTCTCTCCGACACATTTCTTGTTTGTTTAGCTTCGGAACTGTATTTTGAACTGTATTTTGTTTAAAACTGGATATTCTAAAATATTTGAATATTTGCTAGACGTCACAGTTTTATTTTCAACCCTATCCTTTCAAAGACGTCTTTCCTCTCTCTGCTGCCTGGTGACCTCAGTGTCTGCGAATATAAACCATGAACTGGATCTAAATCTGCGTCGCTAACCCGCTAGCCGAAGGAAGCCCAATAGGGAATTGAATTAATATCTATGTCAAAGAAGCCGTCATTCATGGGGAAGACTCCAGTTTGCCAGAGCAAGCATCTTATCAACTCGTCTGCCCCTGTTATGGCTCAAGGTTAACGCCATCGAAAAAAATGCCCATATAAGGAAATTTGCTTCAGCTAATTTTCCGCATTAAGACTATCTCTGTGGGATGTCACACTCAGCCAGTCCACTCCTAAAAGCGACCTATTCAATTCAATTTCTGTTTGTATGGCCCTGAACTGGTCTAAAATATAAACATACATTATTCCTTTGGGGCAGATGCTTTTTCTCTCTAAACCTTCAGTGAATGGACCACACAGAAAGGTTTGTTTGTTCATACAGTAAATGTCATGTAACTTCTCGCATGTTTGTCGACTGTACTTTCAGTTGGAGAGTCTCGCTCGTTCGCAGTGTACGTCCTGGGCGGAGTTTTGGCCGTGACTTTGATCGTTTCACTATTTCTGGTATTGGCTATTTACAAGATCAAGAAGAAATGTGAGTGGAATTTTGACACTGGGTCTATATAAACTTTACAGATGTTAACTATGAAATGGTTCAGATTGCCTCACAAAAAGCAGTTTTGTACAGATACAAGCCTGGTTTTTGGAGTCTTAAATAGCCTGGTCCCATAGACTGTATATAGATGGACAATGCTCAATGAAGAACAATAGGGAAATGCTCATGGACAAAGTTTTGCTCCAACTCACTCTATGTCAAACTCCTCAAGCTCAGTAACCGTTTGAGCCACAGTCATCGTTTTGGGCTTAGTTTACCTTTGGTTTAGTGCTCTCTGTGATCCTGGTGTTTAATTTCTTATATATTGTCTATACAAATCCAGATACGATATTTAAATGTTTTTTTCAAAGTATATAAAGTATAAAATATCCTGATATTGATGATTTTGACAAATTATACTGATTTTGTTCAGGGGAAAAAATCTGATAATTCGACAGATTAAAACTGATTGGACTTTAGCTGAAAATGCTAACACTGAATAAGAACATATGATTTTTGGGCCCAATGAGGTCTATTTTAAATGAGAATTGCACTGAAATGCTTTATTAATACTTAACTAATTCTGATTATTTTCTTTGCAGCTCAATCTTCTGTGAGCATTGAGGTAAGACACTCATGTATCACTAAACTAATATCCTATCCCTATATATTGGCCCTATGAGTCTTACTAACACAAGTTCACATTGTCATCCAGCCAACTTCAGCTCCATCAATATAGGCCTGCTAAACCGTTTCACAAAAACATCACAAAATTTGATATTTATTTATAAATATGTCCCCCACGGGATAATTTTTGTGCCATAATGGACAGAGGTTTTGCTACAAGGATTGCGGAGGCAAGCTGGAGTTTCCCCACAAATGAAGGCATCTGATTGGTCAATCCTTATATGGCAAAGACAATATCACAATATAAAAAACAGGATCACGATAACAGAGAGCACAAAACCACAGGTGGTTTAGGTCCAAATTATCGAGTGTGACACAGTTACTGAGCTAGTTTACTTTTACATGGTCAATACGAGCCAGAGCGAGTCGGAGCCAAACTTCGTCCATGAGCACTTCCCTACAGTGCCTTGCAAAAGTATTCACCTCCCTTGGCTTTTTAACTATTTTGTTACATTACAGTCTTTAGTTCAATGTTTTTTTTTATCTGAATTTCATGTGATGGATCAGAAAACAATAGTCTAAGTTGGTGAAGTGAATTGAGAAAAATATATACATAACTATTTTTCAGAAATAAAAAACTGGAAATTGGCATGTGCATATGTATTCATCCCCTTTGTTATGAAGCCCATAAAAAGCTCTGGTGCAACCAATTACCTTCAGAAGTCACATAAATAGTGAAATGATGTCCACCTGTGTGCAATCTAAGTGTCACATGATCTGTCAGTACATATACACACCTTTTTTGAAAGGCCTCAGAGGCTGCAACACCTAAGCAAGAGGCACCACTAACCAAACACTGCCATGAAGACCAAGGAATTCTCCAAACAAGTAAGGGACAGTGTTGTTGAGAAGTAAAAGTCAGGGTTAGGTTATAAAAAAAATATCAAAATCTTTGACGATTCCCAGGAGCACCATCAAATCTATCATAACCCAATGGAAAGAACATGGCACAACAGCAAACCTGCCAAGAGACGGCCGCCCACCAAAACTCACGGACCGGGCAAGGAGGGCATTAACCAGAGAGGCAGCACAGAGACCTAAGGTAACCCTGGAGGAGCTGCAGAGTTCCATAGTAAGACTGGAGCATCTGTACATAGGACGACAATAAGCCGTACGCTCCATAGAGTTGGGCTTTCTGGCAGAGTGGCCAGAAGAAATCCATTACTTAAACAAAATGGCACGTTTTGAGTTTGCGAAAAGGCATGTGGGAGACTCCCAAAATGTATGGAGGAGGGTGCTCTGGTCTGATGCGACTAAAACTGAACTTTTCGGCCATCAAGGAAAACGCTATGTCTGGCGCAAACCCAACACATCACATCACCCAAAGAACACCATCCCCACAGTGAAACATGGTGGTGGCAGCATCATGCTATGGGGATGTTTTTCAGCAGCGAAGACTTGGGAAACTGGTCAGAGTTGAGATGGATGGTGCTAAATACAGGGATATTCTTGAGCAAAACCTGTACCACTCTGTGCGTGATTTGAGGCTAGGACAGAGGTTCAACTTCCAGCAGGACAATGACCCCAAACACAATGCTAAAGCAACACTTCAGTGGTTTAAGGGGAAACATGTAAATGTGTTGGAATGGCCTAGTCAAAACCCAGACCTCAATCCAATAGAAAATCTGTGGTCAGACTAAAAGATTGCTGTTCATAAACTCAAACCATCCAACTGGAAGGAGCTGGAGCAATTTTTCAAGGAGGAACGGGCAAACATCCCAGTGGTAAGATGCGGCAAGCTCATAGAGACTTATCCAAAGTGACTTGGAGCTGTGATTGCCGCAAAAGGTGGCTCTACAAAGTATTGACTTTAGGGGGGTGAATAGTTATGCACATTGACCTTTTCTGTTATTTTGTCCTATTTGTTGTTTGCTTCACAATAAAAAAAGGAAACATCTTAAAGTTGTGGGCATGTCCTGTAAATTAACCGATGCAAATCCTCAAACAATCCATGTTAATTCCAGTTTGTGAGGCAACAAAACACACAAAATGCCAAGGGGGGTAAATACTTTTCCAAGGCACTGTATTGGGCTTAATTAGCTGGTTAGCATTGTCCATCTGTACACAGTGTTCTTATCAGATACCTCGGTGTAAACAGGAGTTGTGTGTGGATTGACATCACAATAGAATCCTAAATGTAAAGTATATGTTGTGTTTTTGTTTTTTGTGTGGTTAGAAGGAGGAGGACGTCCATTACGCCGCCTTAAAGCAACGCACTTCTAACAGGCCCAGAACAGCTGCGGGCGGAACCAACACCGAGTGTGTTTACTCCGGGGTCCGACTCTAGAATTGTGTGAAGGGAAAAGACGAGATCGGATACAAGAACCTGTATGTCGCTGTGGACATGAAGAAGTAATGACATGTATTTAGAGATCATCTTTAGAGACAGCCTCACTCAGCCAATCAGCTTCCAGCTCAAAGAGTCAACAGTGACTCACAAATAGGCATAGACTTCTTACAAATATGCATAAGATCACTCATGTTTTGATAGTAATGTTTGTTTGCAATGGTTCACTTTGTTGTATTATCAAGTAATGTTGCTAGAAGTCAGAAGATTGCAATTGTACATTTAGATGTCTCTGTTCTGTGTGCGTGTCGGTCTGTGTTGTAAACAATTGCCAAATAAAAAATAATATTCAAATTAAAATATTTCCAGATTAACAGTGATTTTTTGAGATTACCAAACAAGCCTCCAGGTTTCTACACAACTTAACCTGTGGTGTCCCCTCGGACTTCCTCCCAGACCTCTGACCTTTCTAGTGTCTTCTTGGATCTCTCTAGTGTCTCCTTGGCCTTCCTTCCTGACCTCTCTGGTGTCTCCTCTGCCTTCCTTCCTGACCTCTCTGGTGTCTCCTCTGCCTTCCTTCCTGACCTCTCTGGTGTCTCCTTCGCCTTCCTCAATGACCTCTCTGGTGTCTCCTCGGCCTTCCTCCCTGACCTCTCTGGTGTCTCCTCAGCCTTCCTCCCTGACCTCTGACCTCTCTGGTGTCTCCTCGGCCTTCATGAGGCTGCTGATACACTCCAACCACAGCTGTAGATACACAGAGTAGAATACACAGATATGGGCTCCTTTTAATCATTAAGCATTGAGACCTGTTCAAAGGCTATTAATACACTCACTCACCCTGACAACATCCTGTATCTTGTGGTCATCACTTCCACAAGGCCCCAACAAACTCTATTCAACTCGATCTAAGGGTTAATTTAACTGATGAAGAAGAGCAGGTTATTTTCACAGCTCCAGTGAAACTTCAGGCTCTCTCAGCAGCAGTGCATCATGGGCCGTCAAACATGTTCACATTCTGCTGCCAAAGCCACACAGGACTGAAGGCTGTGGTTTGGAGGGTGTATCTCTGCATCTGTACTGATACTTTTGTTTTGGTCATATCCGGTTGGAGCCAGTGCTTTTCTCTCACAATGTTCAGTTATTGTCAAAAGAAAGAAACAAAGTATTTAGATAATTTCAGATTAAAGTCCGTCTTTCATAGATCCTAAAACACTCCAATGACTGATAATCTGTCGTTGGAGAAAGAAACTGAAATAAACCACAGTATTAATCAGAACTTATTTGAATACAATACATGTATTCAAATATATGTTTTGCTGCTTTGTTTGAAAAGCAGCAAAACATCTCTTTTGTTTGACTCGAGGTTCTGAGAAGAAGTGGACGAGTGTTTGTCGTGGAATGAATTTGACTGTTTTAAGTACAACTGTTTATCAAAATGTGTGAGGGATTGGGGAAATATCGTAGAGTTTGTTCCAAAAGTCACAAATGCAAAACTCTACAAAACAAATCTGAAAAAGAACCTTCAAACTGGAAGCAACAGAAGTGTAGATACAGTGTAGATGTAGTGTAACAGAAGACAAAGTAGATGCAGCAAATAATCAGATAACTGCTTCAGCCAATGGTGTTAAGTGCAAATCTACCGTCCAATCAGAAGGCTCCACTCACATGTGTAAAACTCTTCCACTGCCCATGTCAACCCAGAAATTCCAGGGCACCACTGTCTTCTGCACAATGAAGCTGTTGAGAGGAGTCTGTGTTCTTCTGCTCTCTGCTTTCTGTGAGTAAGATCCCACAATTTATTATTTTATCTCAGACTTTGGAAAATGATGAACTATGAACTGTTTTGTGTTTCAGTTCAACTCAGTCACAGGAAATCCAGCAGCAAGAATGTCTGAAAACTGCAAAGCTCGGAGAGACCATAGAAATGAAATGTCTGACCAAAAGTTATCGGAAAAGTAGAGTGTGGTACAAACTGAGCAACAACAAGAGTCTACTTCTGCTCGCTTCAACAAATAACCTGTTTGAGGGAAATTCAACTAAACATGACCTTTATTCAGTGAACTCTAATCCAAATCAAACCACTTTGACCATAAAGCAGATGAGGAAGGAGGATGTCGGTACGTACTACTGTGGAATCCATAGCCCTGCTGATGTTGTCTTTGGATCAGGAACTGTTCTGGAGCTGGATCAGGACTCAGAGTCTCTACAGTCCGTGGTCCAGACCCCAGACTTGGTCCCAGTGAAGTCAGGAGACTCTGTGACCCTCAGCTGCTCATTCAACACCAGCCGATGTTCAGGACAAACCAGCGTCACTTGGATTAGAAGTGGTTTGAAGTCTGAGATTATTGCAGGTAACTCTGGAAATGAGAATATATTCTGTGGGAGCGCTGGAGAAACTTCTTGTGTTCATAATCTGACTCTGAAAGATGTAAAGTCCAGAGAAGAAGGGACCTACCTCTGTGTGGTGTCCACCTGTGGACACACTCTCACTGGGACAAGGATCCATGTGAACGGTACGGAACAAATATCTTATGTGTTTCTTTCACCTCTTCTTCTGAGGGAAGTTCTTCACCAAATAGACTTCTTTGACAAAAGTATAAAAAGAGTCAAACCACATTTCTCACACAAAACTTCCTAGAAAAGCTTTCTATGAGCTCAAGTTGTATTGTATTGTATAATATTATAATAATTTAACCAATAAAGACACAATAGTGTAAGTTCTGATGCGAGTACACAGAAGAGGGTTGAAGAAGTTTTTAATATTTGTTGTTTGGTATTCAAAGTATATATTTTCTGTTTAGTTTAATGCAAGGAAAGTGAGTGATGCAGAGGGTACGAGTGGTAGAGTGCTTAACACACAGGTGTTCTTCAAAGACAGGGCAATCGAAGCGGATTTAGGATGTCAAAAAGAGAAAAAGAAGTTCTTTATTAAAATGGACTGCCTACGCGTTTTGACCAAAAGCGGTCTTTGTCAGGGCATAAATAATCTCATTCATGTGTGTCTGTTTTAAAAGCAAGACATGTCACATGACAGGAAGAACATGAAACAGGATAAACACAAAGTTACCTTACAATTGTAAAAACGTTTCAACAAAACATTTTTACAAAATAACCAATGTAACTCGAGTCAGAAAAGATTACGATGTCTTTCAAAAGAACTTTAAAAAAGTATGTATATAATTACATGAACATGTGTACACACAAACTTTTACACATAGAGCAAGATCAGGAGAGCGAAAATATTGATAGAGGCACCAACTGTACAGCACTGAGAAGGAAGAGCAGTGTAATACCAGTTAGTGCTTGCATCGATATAAATCTTCAAACATAGAACCAAAGACCACTGACCCAAAACACATACATCGTTTCGAACATCTACAAAAATGGGGTCCAGTTCCTCATTTAGCCCAGGGTGATGGGTAGCTCCGAGCGTGTCTATCCAATAGGTGTCCCTTTGGAGCAGCTTTTTGAGTTTATCTCCTCCTCTGAGGTCCATTTTGATTGTCTCTATGTCCATGATTTTTAGTCCATTGACATTAGTATGGCCCATAGTTTTGAAATGTTTAGCCAGCGGGAAATCCATATTTTGAGTCCTGATTGCGTATTTATGTTTGGCAAACCTCTCTTTTAGTTTTCTCTTGGTGCGCCCCACATAAAAGCAACCACATTCACAGTCAATCCTATACACCTTAGTTTGCAAAACTAAGGCTTTTGAAGGTCCTCTCCTTTTTGGCATCGTTAAAGGTAGTGCTCCGATTAATCTGTGGGCAATGTTTACAAGAGCCACACATGAAAGTGCCGGTTGGTTTTTTGAAGGAGAAGGAGGGCGATTTTTGTGGGGGCAAGTAGTGCCTCACCAGTTTGTCCTTCAAGGTATATATTTTCTGTCTTTAGTTCTCTCTGACTTCGAGCCCTATATTCTGATTGTCTCAGTCGTTGTGCTTGGACTGGTGGTGTGTGTCCTACTGTGGGGGATTTGGAGAAGCAGTAAGAAAAGAGGTACGTTATATAATGCATAAGTGCCATTTCATTTCCACAGAGCAGTGGTCCTTTATCTCACACACTCACACTAGAATATACGTCTTTTTCAGAAGTGAAGCGCTGTGACCATCGGTCTCTCTCCAATCAGGTCAGAATGAAGTCCTGCCTTCTCATCTGTACTACACTTTCTAGACTCTGAACTGTGGTCCAACACCAACATCACATACCGACTTGCATCAATCACAACAATTGTTTGAAATTTGTCTGTTACGATGGTCCAGGTCCTCGTCTCTGAGGCCAAACATGGTTTAAAGTTTACATGGTCCTTCTACAGTCTATTCAGGCCAACCATCAGACACCTGAGGTATATTTACCAAACAACATGTTGGCCACTTTGGAGTTCGACCTTTCACTGTGCAGGGATTGTTTCCACTCATAATTAGAGTATATGAGTCATCAGAGGCCAAAACCACAGGACCTCGGGCAGTTTTTATCCACGGCTGTAGGAGTTGCAGTGTACCTTTTAAAATGTTATTTTCTTTTATGAACATCCACAGCCATAGTATGCAGTAATGCAGAAGTAAAAGTAGGTGAAATACCGTGTGTATGTATCATACGTATACGTATGTAAAATACAAACAGGATGATAACAATTTGAACACAAGAGCAATTTACAAATGGGAGACACATGGGAGCGATCATGCTGTAATAAGTGTAATGGACTGTATATAGCTTAGCTGCTAGCTCAATGAAACCCAATAGGGAAATTTGTGTCACACTCACCATTTTCGGCTTAAAACATCTGTGATCCTGGTGTTTAAATATTTATTTTGTCTTTGAAAACCCAGATATAAGACATAAAAGGATTGATCATCAGATGCCTTCATTCGCATTCTGGCTCTAGCTTACTTTAGCAGTCTTCTTAGATTTCCAAGATCACGGAAAGTGCTAAACCATAGATCTTGTATCCCAAAATGATGAGTGTGACACAAACAGAACCTGAGCTTGAGGAATTTTCTTTTCAATCTAGGTCAGTAGGAGCCAGAGAGCGATGGAGAAAAACTTCATGAGCACTTCCCTATTGAACTTCATCGAGGTGGGGGCTTAGCATTGTCCATAGGTAGATCATAACCAACGCAATTATCATAATTTAGAGACTGCTCCTGATAAAGTACAGGATGGGTCAAATGCAGAGGAAAAATTGCCCTTAGGGGGTAAATAAAGTGCTCCTGGAGCCCGCCAGGAGCGCTGTGAGTGTCATGTTTTTGGAATTCTCCAGCGCTATCAAAGCCATCAGACCGGCACTGCTGCGGGGGAAAATGGAGGACGGGGGAGTGGACAGTAGCCTCACTGCATGGACCATTGACTATCTCTTGGACCGACCACAGTACGTGCAGCAGCTGTGAGTCTGAGGTGGTAGTCTGCAGTACTGGGGCCCCTCAGGGCACTGTGCTCTCACCGTTTCTCTTCACCATCTACACATCAGACTTCTCATACGACACACGACACACTTCTCCGACGCATCAGCCATCGTGGGCTGTGTGTCTGAGTGGAACCAAATGGAGACTGGTCGGTTATCACAGACTTTGTCCACTGGCGTGAGCAAAACTACCTGTGCTTGAACACCAGTAAGTCCAAGGAGATGGTACCTGTGCTTTGTAAGGTGAATTAAAGGACAGCCAGTCGGACGTTGACCAGCAAACCAAGATATGTAAACATGCCCTCCTGAGCAGGACCCATCTTGACGCACATCTAAGAGACGACCAGGTCAACCAGAGGACGTCATCGGTCACCGAGACCATAAGTGTCAACCAAGGCAATAAACCGAGCCCCAGAACAAACATCTGTGTGCCTTTCTGCCTGGCAGAGATCAGAGATCAATAATCTGCTCTCACTCCCGGGACATTCCACGGCTCTGAGACAATCTGTGACTCACCCACGGCGCTATGGCGCCCCCCAGCGGACACTGAACACTATCACACCCGGGACGGACATTTTAAACAATCACCCATGAAGCCATTATTCGGATAACCTGTATTGTGCCCTACACGTGTGTATTGTTATCAGTAATGTAAATGCGTTGTGCGCCTGTACATGTGTTATGAATGTTGGTATTAATCCTGCATCTGATTGTGGATGTCTGCATGATGTGTTTTTGCCTTGGGACATGTTGGTCCAGAGAGACGCACAAGGATGACGTCACGGACGCGCCCCCTTTAGAAGTCAATATAAACACACACAATGCAGCAGGACTTTCTCTTGGACCCCCCTGTAATCACTGTAACAGCCTTCCCTCCTGCGTTCCGCGTGTACGTGTCTCCTACTACGACCGCGCCTGTACGCACTGAGGCCTCTCCACTCCTCGAGCACAGCCCTCTTTTCTGGCCCTGGACCTCACGAACTATTCCACCATCAGCCTCTTTTCTGGCTCTGGACCCTACGCACGCAACGCATTTCGGACTGCGTTGTATATGCGTGGATCAAAGTTGGACTGGATCCGCTGGCTTCGTGTCTCCCTCCTGCCCGGACAAAGAACACGTGGATGCCCATCCTCCTCCAAACCTTTTCTTCATCCCTCTACGCTGCTCAAAGTAAGACTGTTCCTTGTTGGAAGTGTGATTCGAATGATATGTATACAACCTCTGCTTAATGTGACCAGAAAACCCTTTTCGTTATATTTTCTATTTTCATTTTTGTAGTCAATAAACCCACGTTAATTTTAACTCATTCATTTCAGCGTCGTGTTTATAAGTCTTGGATATCCCTGGCCGATTTACGTACTCAAAACCATCAGATTTATGATACTGGTATCGAGGCAAATTAGTTGGATCTGTGCAGAAGCTTTCAAACTCTGCTGGTGCCCAAAATAAAAGCAGATCCCAACTCGTGTAGTACGGCGAGACTCTGATCTGGAGACTAGCCGCACTACACTACATTTTCATTTACCCCATACATACTATAATTACCCTACAGCTTCAACACCAGTAAGACCAAGGAGATGGTAATCGACTTCAGGAGAAAACCACTTTCCCACACGCTGCTGAACATCCAGGAGGAGGACATTGAGCTGGTGGATAGCTTTAAGTACCTGGGTGTTCACATTGACAATAAACTGGACTGGTCCCATAGCACCAACGCCCTTTACAAGAAGGGCCAAAGTCACCTCTTCCTTCTAAGGAGGCTGAGGTCCTTCGGAGGAGACTGAGGTCCATCTGATGAGACTGAGGTCCTTCTGAGGAGGCTGAGGTCCTTTTGGGGAGGCTGAGGTCCTTCTGAAGAGGCTGAGGTCCTTCAGATTGAGCCTCTGTTCAGGACCTTTCATGACTCTGTGGTAGCCTTTTCCATACACTACGCTGCCGTGTGCTGGGCCCTGGGCAGCACTGAGCGGGACAGGAGTAGACCGAACAAGCTGGTCAGGAGGAGGTGAGGGACAGGAGGCCCTTGGACTCTGTGGAGGAGGTAAAGGACAGGAGAGATGAAGGCCCCACCCACTGCAGGGCCTTCATCCCCACCACTGTCAGACTGTACAACAAGTCACTAATGCACTAGGACTGAAATAATTTTTTTATTGTACATAATTATATCCTGCACAGATAGTATTTTTAACCTTTAACATGTTGCACACTTCTGTCCTTTGCACAATCTCTATAGTATAGACAAACTCAAACATTCTCTCATGAGTCAGTTTGCTGGGGTAAGTATGGTAACTTGAGCACTATCCTCTCCTCCTTCCTACTTTATCTGTTTAGCATTTTTAGGATTTTGACTGTAGTTTGTTCATTGCTATTTACCCGTTGTCCCATTGTCTGTTTCATGGTACGATGACGGGATCTCTGAGCCTGGCCTCCTCCATCTACACCTGCGGACTGCCCCGCCCGACCCGCCTGGGAGTGCTTCAGTCCTGCACCGGACCTGTCCACGTTCAGCGGCCACTGGTCCACGTTCTGTAGCTAGCTTAGGTCCTAGATCATTAGCCTGTCCGTCCGGAGGAGCGGATCCCTTTCTCAAATGGGTCTTCCTCCCTGTGGGTTTCCCTAGTTCTCTCACTTTTTCCCACTGGGTTTTTTAAGAGTTTTTCCTTGTCGATGCAGGAGGGTCTTGTTGGACAGTTAGTGTCCAACAGAAAGGATTGGTGATGATCAGGACACTTTAACATTCTACAACATGTATGGACATTTTCTTCTGTGTGTGCTTTATATTTTTCATGTGTTTTAACTGTTGATTCTCTGACCTGTGTTGGTGATTTCAATGGTTTTGTTAAGTCCTCTGAGATGACTTCTGTTCTGACCTAGGGCTATACAAGAATTAATTGTATTGTATTGTATTGTATTATAAAAATTGCCTTCTGCTCCAGCTGCCATGGATACAGATGCAGCTGGGATTTATTTTAAAGGTGATGTTCAAGGAAAGGCAAGGCAAGGCATGTATATTTGTATAGCACAGTTCATACACAAGGCAACTCAAAGTGCAAACAAAACAAGACACAATCACATAAGGTATTCAAATCATATTCACATCACCAGGACGGTAAAACTGAACTGTCTCAAAGGTCCGGGTGAAGAAGCATTCCTTCAGTTGTAGCACAGCTCAACAGAACTTTTTTGACCTGGATTTATCAGAGAAGAAGCTTTTCTCACATTTTCAGGAAAACAATTCCAGGTTTTAGCTGCAGTAATTCGAAAGGCCTCCCCATGCTTAGTTCTGACTCCCACTAGCAGAACAATTATCCAACACAGCAACATCAAACACATTTACATTTGAAACATTGGTAATTAGCAGGTCTACAGTGTGTCCTCTGTTGTGGGTGGGGCCAGTCACGCCGAGTCAGTCAAGGTTGAACGTCTAAACAAGTACATTTCATCTGTGTCTGTAAGCAAATATATTAAAGATTTTATTTCACAGCAAACAGAGAGAAAACAAACACATGCCATTCTTCAGAGCGAGTAGTTGATGGAAGCGTTTGGGTTCAGAGCTGGGTCCTCATTTACAGTGACAGTACCAGACCTTTGTGTACGCGTCACGGTCTCGCCTGAGTCTCGCTGTGGTCGACCCGAAGGAAGAAAGCAACTCCCCAGCTGTGTACGTGAGGCCGTCGTCAGGCTGTAACCGAGGAGAAACTGATGAAAACTCACAAAATAAAACTGTGGCGTTAAAAGTTGCTTGCTTGCTCTCCAGTCGTACCTACAATGCATCAACATTGTAATGACTTTGCACTGACTTTGGACTGACTTTTTACTGACTTTGTATCAACTTTGTATTGACTTTTAACAGACTATGTGCCGAGTGTTCACCTACATGTTCCTTGTATTTGCTTTTCATTCATTCATTCATTCGTTTGGGATTGTGCTAATGTGGTGTTCATCCTTCATGAATTCATTGAGGCTAAATAATGCTGAAAAATTAACTCTTGAATTTTGTTTTCTAAAACATTGGTGTCATTGTTCTTTTTCTAAAAATGTTTTTAACTACTAATACTACTTACGCTACTGCATAGTATGTATGCGGGTGTTCATGAAATAAAGATAACAATTTAAATGGACTCTGTAACTCTTCAAGTCATGGGCAAAACCCTCTTTCAGTTTGGGAGAAGTCACAAAGAACAGAAAAGAAATGACACTTATGTATGGAAGCCCGTTTCCGCCATGTAAAAAAAAAAAAAAAGCCTACAGAAAGTCAAAATTTGGACTTTAAAACTCAAAATTTCGACTTTAAAAGTCAAAATTATGAGTTTTCAACTGCGCATGTGCAGTTGAAAACTCGTATGTGTTGTTGTCTGGAACGGTCTCTGGTCATCCCTGTTATAGATCCATGACCATGGGTCATCCTCTACCTGCAGATTATGTGAAGATTTTGCCTACAGACAGTGACCACATCAAGTAGCCAGCAATAATGATGTGGTAGTAATCGCGTTAAAATGCAAACGGTCTCTCCGTTTATGATTAGAATCCGCTTCAGAAGCCTCTATTTAGTTTATCCTAAACGGACTGTGGAAGATTAATAATAAAACACATGCGGCTGTTCAAAGTCATTGAGCATCAACTGGTGACATCTGGTCAGTATCATTGCTATCGATGGATGCACCAGAAATGCAGTGAATATTATTGTGACTGACAGAGAGACCGTTCGCGATTACAGGACAGTGAGAGAGGTCCGCAGACAGAGGCAGGAGAACCACAGTCACGGGCACTGACAATATTACCCTTTTGGAATTGCGATCAGTGCATTGAAGAGTATGTGACGTGTTTGCGTGAACGCGGGGGTGAGCTGATGGAGCGAGCGTGCGGGTAAAGTTGTTGGCGTATGAGCAAGAACACAGAGACATACAGGGAATAAGTACCTTGTCTGATTATTTTATTGTGACAAAATAAAGCCCACGACTCTTTTAGCAACAATCCGGAGAAATAACTCCGCAGATAACAGTGAGGGTCTTTGAAAAGGGAGTTGAACCCATTATAGATGCATGAATAAAACCCCGTACACAACACGTAGAAAGCGCATCATTTCAGCCGTGGAAATACTCGCTCCGTGTGGACCCTCTCAGCGTCATCGTCTGGTCAGAGTGGTCTACAGCAGATTGGATTGGAATCATGCAGATTGGATTGGAATGTCTCGATGGCTCATTTTCCTTTGATTTATTATAAAACATATTGCTCACATTATTTGTTACTATGTCGAAATAAGAAGTCGTTTGATTTAAATGTTGTATATATGTAAATTGAATTTAACATAAATAAATAAAAAGACAGCTCCCCCTGCGTCCTACGACCGCGGTCTGGGGCTTAAACAGGAAAGTTTTACAGAATCAATCAAACAACATTATTTCTGGCTACTTTAAGGATGCAGTGGTCACTGTAGGCAATATCTTCACATAATCTGGAGGTGAAGGACGTCCAGAGACCGTTCCAGACAACAACACATACGAGTTTTCAACTGCACATGCGCAGTTGAAAACTCTTAATTTTGACTTTTAAAGTCGAAATTTTGACTTTTAAAGTCGAAATTTTGACTTTTAAAAGTCGTAATTTTGACTTTTAAACTCCACTTTTTTTTTTACATGGCGGAAACGGGCTTCCATACTTATGCATATATAAGAACTGGTAAATTAAGTCTAGAGTAGAGCTGGGAGTCCACCATCACCACTGGAGACTGAAGCAGAAACACTATATCAAGAAAATATAATATAATCATGGACAGGCTACATAAATAAACTAAAATATATAACTCATTACTGTATTTCCTTTTGTAATTAGCAATTGCTGTGATTGATGCAAGTGTTGGTGTTGGTGTTGGACCACAGTTCAAAGTCTAGAAAGTGTAGTACAGATGAGAAGGCAGGAGTTCAGTCTGACCTGATTGGAGAGAGACCGATGGTCACAGCGCTTCACTTCTGAAATAGACGTATATTCTGGTGTGAGTGTGTGAGATAAAGGACCACTGCTCTGTGGAAATGAAATGGCACTTATGCATTATATAACGTACCTCTTTTCTGGCTGCTTCTCCAAATCCCCCACAGTAGGACACACACCACCAGTCCAAGCACAACGACTGCCACAATCAGGGTGTAGGGCTCGAGACCAGAGAGAACTTTGGTCCCTACTAAAAAAGGAAAATATTCAGGTTTTTTTTCCCAGGAAGAACGTCTCTTAAGATGAATGTCTTTGTTATTCAACAATCATATTAATTCTACCTGATATCACATGTTTTGAAGCAGAAACTCCACGAGAAGGAAAAATGCAACAAAGACAATGATTTTTGGTGCCGAACAATTACTGTGGTTTGTGCGTGTGTCCCCATTGTCCTAATGTCGCTCCCCGTTCAGTGATTTGTCCAAGTCCAGGAGAGTTTCCAGACTATTGTGCAGAAGTGGGAGATTCCCAAGAATTCAGAATAAAACTGTATCTAAATTGCGTTACTTTCTATGTCATGAAAATCAAAGGATATCATTGTGTATCTTATCATGAAATTTACGGTTGAAAATTCCCAAAATAAATGAAAGCCAGACCCAACTTGGTGGGGGCAGTCTCATGTTGTGAAGCTTTGATGCTAAACTATGTTTTGTGCTTTGTTACAAGCATTTTTCTCAAATAAATACATTATAGTAATGAACTCAGGCATACAACCAAATCAGTTACAAAATTGGGGAAGGAAAACAAATGTTTTGGAGCAGCCCTCGCAAATCCTTAATCTCAGTACCAGATACGTGGATGATCTCAAATGACTGAGAGTGACGTGGCTTACAACCGTCCTCAAGAGCAACAGGCCAAAATTCGGGCCAACTATTACGAGAAGCTTAAACATTTGACCCTAAAATGACAGTAAAAGCTGACAACATTAATGTGCACTTCTGAAGTTGGTTGCAGAAAAAAGCACAAGCATTCTGAAGTAAATCCTCTCCCAATATTGTGGCATTGAGGAAAGATTGATAATGATGTTATAATTATCTGACCTAAAATAGGACCTTTGTCTGAATTAACTTCAGACTGTAATACAAGTCCCACAAATGTCAACGTCTGGTTCCACTCGACATAATCACAGAACATTTAGACAAAAACATGTATTTTCATTAGTCTTGAGTATAATCCATCACGATCCTCTTCTGCACATTTACTGAACCCTCTTTCTTACCGTCCACTTGTATCCTGGTCCCATTCCCGATCTGTGTGAGTCCACAGACAGTCACCACACAGAGGTAGGTCCCGTCATGAGCAGAACTGACTTCATTCAGGGTCATATGTTGAACACACGAGGTTCCTCCAGTGTTTGCACGATGACAGGAGCTCTGATTTACATTGTTCCAGGAAGTAATGTGAGAAGCTGCACTCAGTACCCAAGTTACACTGGTGAGTTCTGGTTCCCTGTGGCTGGTGTTGAATGAGCAGCTGAGAGTCACAGAGTCTCCGGACTTCACTCTGATCATGTCTGGGGTCTGGACCACAGACTGAAGAGGCTCCGAGTCCTGATCCAGCTCCAGAACAGTGCCCGATCCAAAGGCAACATCATTAGAATCCATTATTCCACAGTAGTAGGTGCCGACATTGTCTGTTCTCATGTTCTTTATGGTCAAACTGGTTTCATTTGGAGAAGATTGCAATAAAATACGAGGATTGTTTATTACCTCATGTGTTGAAGTCAGCAGATGTAGATTTCTGTTTCTGTCCAGTTTGTACCACACTCGATAGCTCCTAGAGCTTTTGATCTGACATTTCATTACTACAGTCTCTCCCAGCTTCACCTTTTTCAAACAATCGAGCTGCTGGACTTCTTGTGCCTCAGAAACACCTGAAATTCAAACCAATTGTTCTGAAGTGAATCAAATGTCTCCAGTTTGCTCTGCAGTGCTGCAGTTATACTTACACAGAGTCCAGAGCACAGAGACGAGGACAGCGTACTTCACCATTGTTGCAACAGTGATGGTTGAAAGTCTGAGCTGATGTGGTGAAGGGTGGAATATAAAGCAGAGAATGAAGCCTTCTGATTGGATGATGTAGATTCAAGATGTGTTGGCTTTGGTGCATGAGGTCTTGTAGTTTCAGATGCCAACCTTGATCTCATTTATACAGACATCTAAAGAACACCGTTTTATTTTGGTTTAGACCTTGTATTTGTAGAGCAGTGGTTAATTGTAAAGTGCCCAGAAAGAAACCGTGCATCTTTTTATGGTGGTTTCAAACATAACTGTTTAAAGTCTGAGCTAAAACTAAAGCAAATGAAAACTCTCAGATTTAAATCTGTGGGAAACACTGCAACATTGACTTCAGTAGCATCAGCTCTCGCGGCATCTCTGCGGTCAGTATGCTCCCTCTGGAACCAGACCCCCTCACAACCACTGGAGTCTTCAACAGGCTTGTTTTAAAGCATCGTACATGTTCCCCTGATTTACTTTGTCCAACTGAGAAGATTTGGACATCTATGGTGAGTGAAGTTACTCAACACATTTTCTGATTTATATGTATACAATATATATATTCATTTCATTTCAGGGCAGTGTGTGTTAAACCAAGATTTCTCTTCATTCAAATCAATGGCCTATGCTCGTTGGCGCGTGTTGGCCCCATGGAGGCTGAAATATTAACAGCAGTGACGCATCTCTGGTCTCGGCCTGTGCAGTCGTGTGCCGCCTGTGGTAGTTCAACAGACCGAGACCAACGCATGAGCGTTCTGACCAATCAGAGCTGACTGTAGAGGGCAGTACTGCGGCGTACTGGTGCGAGTGTTCAGTAGAAGACGACATCGAGAACAGGCTGAGTTTGTTGCAGTAAAATGTGTGGATTTATAGAAAACCAGTGGCTTTAAATCCTCTAAACCACTGGTTCTTAACCTGGGTTCTGTGAGTCGGTCTCAGGGGTTCAGCAGAGCCTGTGCTGCAGAGATCCGGACACACACAAATGATCGAGAGATGGACACACAACCCCGACGCTCCAGAGCGTGTGTGGCTCTTCCTGAAGCAGACTGCTTTGCAACACTGTGTTGGAGCGTGTATCAAAACAGCTGGTTATAGTCTTAATACATACTGTACATATCTATGTTTTAACACATGTCTAAACAAAGAACAGCGTACTTCACCATTGTTGCAACAGTGATGGATGAAAGTCTGAGCTGATGTGGTGAGGGGTGGAATATAAATCAGATAATGAAGCCTTCTGATTGGATGATATAGATTCAAGATGTATTGGCTTTTCTGCATGAGGGGTTGCACTTTCACTCAAAAATGTTGTTTCTGCTAAGATTTTTCAGGCGTGCAACTGTAATTACAGAGACCGTGAGGTAACAGTCTTTATTTTAATTTTGACCTCTTTTTTGTAGAGCAGTGGTTAATCTGTAAAGTGAGAAAAGATTCTATACTACTAATAACAAAGCAAATTTTAGGTTTTATACAGTGCTTATTTGGACACTTCAGTAGGTGTTGATAAACTACTACAGTAGCCACAGCTGCCCTGGGGCACACCGAAAGAAGCGAGTGAAATAATCTGACCTTCTCCAAACACCACCAACTATTCACAGACTATTCACCAGACTCACTCTGGGCAATGTAGGTGAAGTGTTTCTTAAGGTTGCTTAAAAACTGGTTCTACTACAGTTATCTGGACAGAAGCACACAACAAACAAGGTAATTGGTTTTATACTTGCATGCAACAAGGAGGAGATGGCTTTATGGCTGGAAGGAGGCATCTACGTCCTCTGCAGCCGCAAAGCAAGTCCTACCCGTTTGCTCTGCAGGCAGCTTATTTATTTCAAAGCAGAAAGACCCACGCCTCCATTTGGAGACCAGAACTAGGTGAAGTTACACATTAACCACTTGTTGGACATTGTCTTGGCAACATAGATTTACACAAAACACCTCATTGTGGAGAATATGGATAATTATTAGGTTGGTTTCAACACATGACTTGTCGATTTCCCCACTCGGTCAACCCAAGTTGTCTAGACTATATTATCTATAGCAGCCATTCCCAAACTCAGTAACACCGAGGCCCCCTTAAAAATCTGACGGGTCTGCGTGCCCCCCCAAAATAATAACCAAGAAGACAACATTAAGAATAGGCTCTTCTGGTTATTTTATTTTGGGGAAATAGCCTCTGCTACAAACATTGTAATACAAAAATGATTACAGTGGATTATTCAAGTCAAATAATGAACAAAAATATTTTAATATTACAAACAAAACATTATAAATTTAACATGAAATAATTATATTGTTTTTTTTTTTTTTTTTATGACCTCCCGCGGCCCCCCTGCAGTACCCTCGCGGCCCACCAGGGGGCCGCGGACCCCACTTTGGGAGACACTGATCTATAGATTATATTCACAATCATTTTAATGATAACCCATACAATTCCACTATCAGACACAATGACAGTTTGGCACTTTACACTGTGGCACCTGCTCTTCCCAGAGGTCGGGAACACCAGGTGCCACGGGATCCTACTTTCACCAGCAGCTGGTGCAACAACTTCATGGTGGTGCCAATGGATTCTAGTTTTATTAATCCTTATCATTTTTGGTTTACTGGATGTGGCCACTATAAATAACGAATAGTTATGAAGTAAAATATTCTAAGTAGAGCGTGGAGCACATGGTGAAGTGGAGGAAGTCTCACCTTTTACATGGACCACAGGCTGTAGAGGCTCCGAGTCCTGATCCAGCTCCAGCTCCAGTCCAGTACCTGATCCAAGGACGACCTCAGAGGAGCTGATGATCCCGCAGTAGTACGTTCCAACATCGTCTTTAGTCACATTTATTATGGTCAAACTACTTTCATCAGGAGAAGATTTAACTGAAACATGACTATCAACATGGAGCATATTTGTCGAAGCGAGCACATGCAAACTCCTGTTGGTCCCCACTTTGTACCAAACTCGATATTTCCAAGTCCCTTTGGTCACACATTTCAGGACCACAGTCTTTCCGAGCTTTGCCCTCTTCAAACCTTCGAGCTGCTGGACTTCCTGTGCGTGAGCGGCACCTGATAAACAAAACACACACGGTCTGAAAAGTCTGTAATGTTCCAGTTTGCTCTACAGCACAGCATTTATACTTACAGAGAGCCCAGAGCACAGATACCAGGACAGTGTACATCACCATCGCTGCAAGTTGAAAGTCTGAGCTGATGAGGTCAGCGGTGGAATAAAAAGCAGAGAATGGAGCTCTCTGATTGGATGATATAAATTGAAGCTGTCTTTGCTTCCGTGCATAATGTCTTCCAGTTTCACGTGTTGATTGTGGTCTTATATATACTGAACAAAAATGAAAGCAAGAGTCTAAAACTGTCATTGTTCATATGTTTCCCAGCATTGTCACACTTCTGGTTGAATCTGTTTGAATGAGCACAAGTGCAATGTTGGTCCACCCCTCTCCATAACTGCGGTGGATTTTCACATTGTAGAGGTCGATCCTGATACCAAACATATTCAAAGGTTGATGTTGCCACAATGACGCCAAAAGAGGGATTCTTATGAAAATGTCGACCCAAGTTTCCAGGTTCAAAGTAAGGAATAATTGGAGTGACACTTCAGCATGAGGATACCTAGGAGCACAGAGACCGCTGGGCCGTCTGCTCTACATCTGAACACGGCCAGAATATGACTTGTGCAAGACAAGACCATTTCACAAACAACTTACTGCAAGTGCGTGTTTTTGCACCATCAGCACATGCCACAAATACAGAGAGTGTGTCCTCCTTTCTGTATCTCTGTCATCAAACACACAAAGCTGGGGAATCTAAACTTTTCTCTCTACTAATAATGTAAAGTCTTGTTAAATGTTAAATTAGTTAAATGTGGTGAACATGTGGTGAACAAATCAGACAACATGCTGTATTCATCTTATTAGTTTGTGAAATATGCTAGAAATAGCCCTGTGAGTCACTATTTGACTGTTTAGGCTGAGAGTGGATCCAAATATGTGACAGAGGCCAATAACACATGCATATTTAAACAAGTGATTGAACTGCTTTAGAGCCAGGAACAGAATAAGCTACAGTAAGTGTCCAAAGTTCATTTACTTCTGTAAGTCCATATACAATGTAAAACTAATATATGATATACTCTTTACACATTTTCAGCATGATATAAAGCTTTGGTGGTTTGTGACACATGGTTTCACTTGGACAGCTCAGTCTGAACTCTAGGCCGAGATGCTGCTGGTGATGAGGTGGAAACTTCTGTGCGGTTACAGCAGAGGTGTAAAAATAACCTGCTTCTGTTCGACAGAGAGAGAACAGCTTTCCTCTGACAGACACTGATAAAACATTTACTTTCACACTCTGTCGTTCATAACACTCTTTATACACTTTGCATGTGATTGTTTATGATTGAACCTGTTATAGTTTAACCAACAAATCTTTTAGGCTTCGTCAGACTTTTGTCTCGTTAAAAGGCATTCTAAGCCTGCATTCAGCTCTCTCTGGTAACCCTCTGGTCTCTCTCTCTCTGTTCTATCTCTCTCTATCTGGTCCCTCTCTGGTCTCTCTCTTTATCTGTTCCACTCTGATCAATCTCTGTTCTATTTCTCTCTCTCTGGTCTCTTCCTCTGATCTATCTCTTTCTCTCTGGTTTATCGCTTTGGACTCTCTCTCTGGTCCCACTCTGGTCTCTCTGGTCCCTCTCTGGTCTGTTTCTCTCTCTGGTCTCTCTCTGATCTAACTCTCTCTCTCTGTTTTATCTCTTTGGACTCTCTTTCTGGTCTCTCTCTTTGGAATCTGGTCGTTTTATCACAACCAAATAATCAAGTGGAAGCTTTTCTTTACTTCCATTCAACATATTTGTGTATTTATCCCTAAATCATAACAACAGCCGCCTTGGAAGCCTTTACAAAGTGGTTGGAAACAGATGACAGAATCAAATCCAACACAGGAAATACAATAATAACGAACACATAGGAGTCATTGGTCCAGAGGGAGTAGGACGACCACTAACCAGAAATGTAAAAAAAAATCCTTAAATGTCCCGGATCATCACTGTCCTTAGACCCTCTTGCATCATCATCAGAAACGTAGAATGATGAATAAAACACTAAATAAAGAATGTAAACTTGTAAATAGATACATAAACAGCGTAACAAGAGTCTAATAACATCTCGGTGGTCTGTCTTGTCGTTTCTTCACTTCAGAATAAACCACTCGGTCCAGTCGCGGTGAGACTGAGGCACTTCTGGGCACCACCTTCACTTCTGCATACGTCACCTCATCTTCAGCCTGTGCGTCAACAATGTAAACTGACGTCAGGTTCATGGCGAAAATATATGATTATCATGAAGACTGACCTGTTCCCTGTGTGTCGGGCCAAGGCCAGAGTCCACTTCTGTAAAACAAACACTGTTACTTGGGTTTAAAGGTTGAGGTTCACTTTATACACTCTGCATTTGACCCATCACCCATCCACCCTCAGGGCCAAGAGAAGTGCTGCTGTACAGGGGTCTCCACAGATCAGTCAAGACCAGGATTTCATCTATGCCTATAACAGAAACTTCTGCTCTTTCATCCGCATTAAAACATTTGGAAGAAAATCCCAAAAACCCAGAGCCAAGTAACAAGCGTCATATCTGCTGTTTCTCCTGTGAATAAACTGGTTGTGAATAAACAGAGATGTATCTTTGTAAAGAGTTGATAAAGGATGACGTCTGACCGACAGGCAAGAAGTGAAGCCACTCGTAGTTTAATGATCAAATAGTTTTGCCTGGAAATAAAACTGATGCTTTTCCTGTTCTATCTTTGATGTAAATCGTGCTTGAGTCGTTGTCACGTCTTTGAGTACAAACAGTGTTGGAGTCTGTACAGTTCAAGATTCATCAATTCTCCAAATCACTTTTTAAGTCTAATCAATCCACTCGTCATCTGGCTGTGAAGTGTGAGAGTTGGTTTCTCTGTGCAGTTCTCTGGAAGAAGGTAAACTGTTTATCTTTGTGAGTGTGGTCAGTACCTTTGAGCTGATTCTTCCTGTAGCTGCAAACCATCTGCACCAGGACGACCACAGCTGAGCACAAAACTATGTTCAACACGGTCAGGACAATGACAGCTGCACTCAGGCCGAGCAGTTCAGAGGCTTCTCCTTCAAACAGACGATTCAATTTACAATTCAATTATCTTTATAATTACTACTACGGAAGTTTTTGTAAAGAGCAGGAATCAAACAACCAGTTTAAGAAAACCCTGGATCAGAAACATTGTTACAACCTATTTGACATTTAGTAAGAAATTGAACATATCACAGAGTCCAGATAACAGTCTGTACAAAGGCAGAGAACATGGTGAAAGACCACTGTTTGACTGTAAATGTTTGTAACTTTCTTTTTCTTTGGAATCGTCCAAGTGATTGATTTTTCTGTATTGTAAAGCCTAGCGTACATCGGACTGGCAACTGATTATATCCGTCGCATAAGAGCTGCTGCCCCGCACACATTGACAATCTGACGAAAACGGGCAACTCCTAGTAGCAGACCATCCATCCATCCATCCATTTTCTACCCTTTAATCCATTTCTGGGTCAGGGGGGTGGCAATCAGAGATGCCACCCAAGTCTCATAGCACCCGCCCCTCACTGACCCTCTGCAGGTGGTGAGTCCACAGGAGGACGGCTGCTCTCTGAGTGTGAGCATAGCCTTGATCTTTCAGCGGGGGCTTTGGGCAAAGTGGGGTTAAGTGTCTTGCCCAAGGACACAACAAGGTCATCAGTGGGAGTCGGTAGAGAAGGTGTAGAGGTGAGAATTGAACCCACGACCTTCAGGCCTGAAGGCCAATGCTCTACCAACTGAGCTACTGTCGCCCCCTAGCAGCAGACCAGTCTCGGGAATAACAGTGCGTACATCGACAGCAACTGGCCTCAACTACAGTGTGTTTTCTGACATAAACTGTTGCAGGCTCGCAATACACGCAATAGACACACGTTGTCGGAGCGGCGCATGGAGCCCGCACATCGGGCCATATATCTCCGAAACTGAGGACAACTAGTTGCCGAAAAGTAGAACACGGGCAACTGACTGAAACTGGAGACCGACTGTTTATCTCCAGTTGTAAGAGCGCGCACATCGACCGATTTCAGCAACTGATCATCTCCCACCATCTCCTCTCAGTTGCCAAAAGCCGCCTTGCAACTGGTTGTCCCCAGTTTCTCTGTCGATGTACGCTAGGCTTAAAAGCTCAATAGGGTTTGGTTGCTTTTTGTGGATAATCCCATAAATAAAACAATACAAGGTGCTAACATTCAAATAGAAAAAGCTAAAATCTGCCACAATGCGACCAATAGAAATATGATAATAATGCTAATAATTACCGTTCACGTGGATCCTTGTCCCAGTGAGAGTGTGTCCACAGGCGGACACCACACAGAGGTTGGTCCCTTCTTCTCTGGACTTTACATCTTTCAGAGTCAGATTATGAACACAAGAACTTTCTCCAGCGCTCCCAGAGAATATATTCTCATTTCCAGAGTTACGTGCAATAATCTCAGACTTCAAACCACTTCTAATCCAAGTGACGCTGGTTTGTCCTGAACATCGGCTGGTGTTGAATGAGCAGCTGAGGGTCACAGAGTCTCCTGACTTCACTGGGACCAAGTCTGGGGTCTGGACCATGGCCTGTAGAGACTCCGAGTCCTGATCCAGCTCCAGAACAGTGCCTGATCCAAATAGAACATTAAAAGGGCTGTGAATTCCACAGTAGTACGTGCCGACATTCTCCTTCCTCATCTGCTTTATGGTCAAAGTGGTTTGATCTTCAGAAGATTTCACTGAATAATGATCGTCTTTCAGTGAATTCTTCTCTAACAAGTTATTTTGTGAAGCGACAACGTGCAGACTCCTGTTGGTGCTCAGTTTGAACCAGAAATATTTTCCCCAAACACTCTTGCTCAGACATCTCATTTCTACGGTTTCTCCAAGCTTTGCAGTTCTCAAACATTCTTGTTGCTGGATTTCCTGTGACTGAGCAGCACCTGAAACACAAAACAACAGTTGAAGAGAGTGAGATGTGAAAGGTTCTGGGTGTTACTTACACTGAGACCAGAGCAGAACGCTGAGACTCAACAACACTGTCATCGTGGCATATTCTGCAAAAATGTGGTTAGAAGAGTTAGAAACATGAAGTGTGAATTCTCCGTTCTGATTGGATTGTTCACATTCATGCCTGATTGGCTGAAAAGGTTGAAAAAAACAAGGGATTGACTTACTAAAATCTACACATTTTCCACAAACTTTCTGGTTATGGAAAACCTTTGTTCATGAGCTCAGATTTAACATAAATGCACAATGAATAAGAATCACAACATGCTTTATGGGTTCATGAAGCTAAAACAAAGCTGATGCTCTCAAAACCACACTCTGTGAAACCCATGCCAGTGACTGGGTCCTCCTTCAATCACCACATTGAACAGATCTCAGCGCTAATGTGAACTTCTATTATGTGAATTAAAACTTTCTTCATCCAAGAAAAAAGTATTGCATCTGATTTTACAAAATCAGTATGACATCACCACAGTGTAAGCTTCAATGCATAAGAGGCTTATTTGAACATAAGCTGGAGCCATTTTCCTTATATGGGCATGCTTTCCGACAGCATTTGATTTGTCAGTCCTTATAAGGCTGATAACTGGATTTATAAAGACAATATAACTTTATAAACCAGGATCACAGTGAGCACTAAACCACAGACTTAAGCCCAAAATGGTGAGTTTGACACAGACTGAGCTAGAGTTTACTTTTACAAGCCTGAGCGAGTTCCCTATTGGGCTTTATTGAGGTGGGAGGTTAGCATTGTTCATCTATCTGATCAAGTTCGCGGATGACACCACCCTCATTGGACTCATCTCCAACAACGATGAGTCCGCCTACAGGAGGGAGGTGGACCGGCTGGTTTCCTGGTGCAGTGGTAACAACCTGGAGCTGAATGCCCAGAAGACAGTGGAGATGATTGTGGACTTCAGGAAGAGCACTGGCCCCCTGCCCCCACCCTCCGTGATGGACTCCCCCATCACCTCTGTGGAGTCCTTCCGTTTCCTGGGCACCACCATCACCCAGGACCTCAAGTGGGAGCGGACCATCAGCTCCCTCATCAAGAAGGTCCAGCAGAGGATGTACTTCCTGCGGCAGCTCAGGAAAGCCAAGCTGCCTGCACAGATGTTGGTGCAGTTCTACACGGCCATCATCGAGTCCATCCTCACCTCCTCCATCACCGTGTGGTTCGCTGGAGCCACAGTCAGGGACAAACAGAGACTACAGCGCATTGTGCGCTCTGCAGAGGAAGTGATCGGCCGCAGCCTTCCATCGCTGCAGGACCTGTACGTCGCCCGAGCTCGAGGCCGGGCTGGTCGTATCACAGCCGACCTCTCTCACCCTGCACATGGACTATTCCAACCACTCCCCCCAGGCAGGAGACTGCGGTCCATCAGGACTAGAACCTCCCGCCACTAGAACAGTTTCTTCCCCTCTGCTGTTGGACTCTTGAACACTTCTTAACCTGTCCCCCCGCCCTTTATAAAGTCACTTTACTGCCCATCATACGTCACTTTACTTCACTGTACTGCTGTCACCTCACATTGTGTGCACCATGTGCACTTGTATATTGTAAATAGTAACTGTAACTCTATTTTAAATTTAAATGTATTCCTTAGTGTTTTTTATTCTTTATTTTTTATAATTTCTTTCTGACTGTTGCACTGAGCCAAAGCAATTTCCAAGTCTGTGACTTCCTGTTACTTACGTGGCAATAAAAATGATTCTGATTCTGATTATGATTCTATGTGTACAATACAATCAGAACGGAGCATTCCCATTTCATGTTTCTAGCTCTGACCTCATTTCTGCAGAATCTACCAAGATGACAGTGTTGTGGAGTCTCAGCGTTCTGCTCTGGTCTCAGTGTAAGTAACACCCAGAACCTTTCACATCTCACTCTCTTCAACTGTTGTTTTCAGGTGCAGCTCAGTAACAGGAAATCCAGCAACAAGAATGTTTGAGAACTGCAAAGCTCGGAGAAACCGTAGAAATGAAATGTCTGAGCAAGAGTGTTTGGGAAACCTATTTTCTGGTTCAAACTGAGCACCAACAGGAGTCTGCATGTTCTCGCTTCACAAAACTTGTTTGAGCAAAAGCCACCAAACAATGATCATTATTTAGTGAATTCTTCTGAAGATGAAACCTTGACCATAAAGCAGATGAGGAAGGAGGATTTCGCCACGTTCTACTGTGGAATCATCAGCTCTGTTCATCCATCCATCCATCCATCCATTTTCTTCCGCTTCATCCGTTGCCGGGTCGCAGGGGCAGCAGTCTAAGCAGAGACGCCCAGACTTCCCTATCCACACACACTTCCTCCAGCTCGTCCGGGGGGACTCCAAGGCGTTCCCAGGCCAGCTGAGAGACATAGTCCCTCCAGCGTGTCCTGGGTCTTCCCTGGGGCCTCCTCCCGGTGGGACGTGCCCGGAACACCTCCCCATGGAGGCGTCCAGGAGGCATCCGGAACAGATGCCCGAGCCACCTCAACTGATTCCTCTCGACGTGGAGTAGCAGCGGCTCTACTCCGAGCTCGTCCCGTGTGACTGAGCTCCTCACCCTATCTCTAAGGGAGCGCCCAGCCACTCTGCGGAGGAAGCTCATTTCGACCGCTTGTATCCGCGATCTCGTTCTTTCGGTCATTACCCAAAGCTCATGACCATAGGTGAGGGAGGGAACGAAGATTGACCGGTAAATCGAGAGCTTCACCTTTCGGCTTGGCTCCCTCTTCACCACAACGGTCCGATACAGCGACCGCATCACTGCGCACGCTGCACCGATCCGCCTGTCAATCTCACGCTCCATCCTTCCCTCACTCGTGAACAAGACCCCGAGATACTTGAACTCCTCCACTTGAGGAAGGGCCTCTCCACCCACCTCTGTTCATGTTGTCTTTTAATCAGGCACTGTTCTGGAGCTGGATCAGGACTCGGAGCCTCTACAGTCCATGGTCCAGACCTCAGACTTGG